GGGGCGGGGCGGGGCGGGGCGGGCGCAGCGCCGGCGGTTATGCAAATGGCGCCTTTATGTTGATTACGCTGCACCGCGGCGACAAGGTGAGCGCCGCCGTCCTCCTGCTGGAGCGCACACCACGTGCACTACTTCCACGTGAGGCATGGCCGGCCAGCCCATTCCGCGGCGGAGCAGGGCTTTACGGAGCCAGTAAAGGCGCAGTAGTGTAGTAAGGGTTGCGAGGGAAAAAACAAAACAAGGAGTGAAAGGGATGCCGCGAATGAACAATGCCGAACGTTTTCAAGTAACGTGAGCGTTCACATTACTTCTATCTTCTCAACTTCAAGTTGGTCCCAGTTAATGCCCAAAGCTTTGTTCAATTAACCCAAGAAAACCAGAAAACCGCTCCCCCACCACCAACAAAAAATAGACACATGCGACAACGACAGTGTGCATGTGCGCTTTCAAGTCTGTACTGATTTATTTATTAGTAGCTTTTAAAGGTCTTTACGCAGCAGGATTGCTGACTAAGTATTAATTTATTCCGTATATTGTTGCAAGTAGCTCACTGATAACACAAAAAATTGTCAGCAATTAAAAAAATATGTTACTGGATGGAAAAAACAGGATGAGAGTGTGTGTTCTCTCTCTCTCTCTCTCTCTCTCTCTCTCTCTCTCTCTCCCCCCCATCCCCCTCTCCTCTCCTATTTTCCTTTGCGCCTCTCCCCCTCTCTTTCTCACCACTCCCTCCTCCCCCCCCCTCTCTCCCACCTCTGTGACCCCTCCCCCTCCCGGCCCCGGGGGCAGGGCGTTAGGGCTGGCGACCCGTTGCGTGACGTGGTCTCTGCGTGCCGGAGGAAAACTTTGTCAACATTACGCGGCCAGTTACCACGCTGGCTGGTCATAACAGGGGCCTGCTTGGGCCGCTGCGGGCGGGGGCGGGTCAACGAGCAGGCGCCAGTACCGCCGCCGCTGCGTTCGAATACAATCTCTGCGCGCCGCGCTCCTTTCCTCTCTCGTCCGCGTCCTCATGCCGGTGACAAGGGCATAAATAAACAAAAAGCGCTGCCTCGCGGAGAGAGGCCCGCGCCGCCTGGCCTGTGCACTCCTCGAGCTCCTCCGGCAGCACGCCTTCCCCCCGGAGCTGGCTGGCTTTCTTCTATTCATTACTTTGAGAAATCGCCTTCTTTGTATTTCCCCCTCTAGGAGGAAAAAAAAAACTTCTGGAAAATACTTGGACGAGTTGTCTGTTGTGGTTCGCTCTTCGAACAATTTGAGCGCGCATGCGACGTTGGCATTTTTCTTGGGACAAGGCGAGGCAAAGTATTGGCATAAAATGTTTCATGGCGAATGTGCCGAGACACATATGCATCATGGCATCATCAGGCATCCTAATGTCAATTTTTAGTGCGGGGCCTTGCGTTACGGGCGACTTTACGGTTTCTGCGTTAGCGGAGACGGGGCGGAGGGGACAGTAGGGCGTTACTGCGAGAGCGTACTCACACAATCTCTATCGCGCGTCGGGGGTACCGAGGCTGGCGGGAGGCTGCGAGGGAAAGAAGACCTCCCAGGTGGGTCGCCCCCGGCCAGCGGCCAGCCGGGCCAAATGTGATCACCTGGCCCTGCCGCGGCAGCCCGCTCGCCCGGCCCTTCGGGGGCGTTTTTAGCCCGCGGCGGTCTTTGAGCGCGTTCACTGAACCGTCCCATCTTCGGCGCGCTCAGACCACGACCAGGCAGGCGGTAACCCCCGGTCCGTGTCGGTGTGTGCGTGCCGGGCCCTATCGCGCCACGCCTCGCCCCGAAGTGGTTTGGTGGTTGAGACTTGGGCTCTAGTCTTAAGGCTAGTTCCCCTCTGCCAGCAGATCCCTCCTCTCCAGCTCTATCGCGCCCGGACGGATGTTGGTCTCTCTCTCTCTCTCTCTCTCTCTCTCTCTCTCTCTCTCTCTCTCTCTCTCTCTCTCTCAGAGCACCGCGCCATCCCATTCTCCCTCTCGCAGAGCACATTTGCCCCGAGGGGATGCCGTGTTTTCACCCACGACTGGGTGCGCCGGGCCGGGGGCGAGGACACACAGTATCGAGTTACGAGAGTGAGAATGAGCTTGACCTTGCCACAGTGCGTGATGCTCTCGCGCCCTGTAGCACCCGCCCTCATTCGAATCGTTTGCCACTTTTCTCTCTGTAAGCTTACGGTGAGATTCACTGTAGCTTACAGTGAAATTCACCGTAGCTTACAGACAGTGAAAATCACCGCAAGCTACGGTGCTGCAGGCTTTCACTGTAGCTTACGGTGAAAATCACTGTAAGCTTTTGACAGTGCAAATAATTTCTCTGACAGAGCTTCTGACGCCTTAACTAAGACTTAAATTTTCTCATTCTCATGATGCTTGGATTCTTCCGCGTGTGTGTCTGCGTTCTTGTGTGCAGACTAAACCCTTTTAGACGATGTTGTGCATAGTAAGAATTGCAGAGGTTTAATCATCTAAAAGGCATGCACAATCCAGTTTGGTTTAGTGTTCAAACGTCGACCTTTGTCTCCTCGCGGTTTTGTTTTCCAATCCAAATTCACTTCGACTCCCTCTGAACTTTCCCTTATTGTGAGGTCCTCGTTCCGGCCCCCTGCTTTCATATCGGAGGGAATAGAGCAGAGAGTGTGCTTGCACGTCAGGTCTCCAGGACACCCCTCTCCCGTCCCCTTGTTGTACCACAGACACAACGCCCCCTCCGTGCGCCCGGCCCGGCCCAGACCCCGAGGGGCAGCCAGTAAATTCGATAATCTCTCAACACGGTCAGCCCGTAAACATGGCGGTTACAGTTGCGGAGGGGGATGCCACCCGCCTCGGGCAGAGGACGAGGAGTGCTGCGGTTGCACCTCGTGTGAGTGAGCGGGAAAGAGAGAACAGTGAAAGTGCAAATTAATGCTTCCGTTTACACGTTTGAAGTGCAACCCGCTTGGTCGTCTCTCTCTCTCTCTCTCTCTCTCTCTCTCTCTCTCTCTCTCTCTCTCTCTCTCTCT